GTGCGCTGGCAGCCCAGAGGGCCAGCCGTGTCCTGGGCTGTATCAGGAGAAGCGTGGCCAGCAGGTCGAGAGAGGTGATTCTGCCCCTCTACTCTGCTCTGGTGAGACCTCACCTGGAGTACTGCGTTCAGCTCTGGAGCCCTCAGCACAAGAAGGACATGGAACTGTTGGAGCGGGTCCAAAGGAGGGCTACAAAAATGATCCGAGGGCTGGAGCACCTCTCCTATGAGGACAGGCTGAGAGAGTTGGGCTTGTTCAGCCTGGAGAAGAGAAGGCTGCGGGGAGACCTGATTGCAGCCTTTCAGTACTTAAAGGGAGCCTATAGGAAAGATGGGGACAATCTTTTTAGTAGAAACAACAGTGACAGGGCGAGGGGTAATGGTTTTAAACTAAAACAGGGTAGGTTTAGGCTGGATATAAGGAAGAAATTCTTTACAATGAGGGTTGTGAAACACTGGAACGGGTTGCCCAGAGAGGTAGTGGAGGCCCCATCCCTGGAAACATTCAAGACCAGGTTGGACAGGGCTCTGAGCAACCTGATCTAGTTAGTGGTGTCCCTGCTCGCTGCGGGGGGATTGGACTAGATGACCTCTAGGGGTCCCTTCCAGCCCAAAACTTTCTATGATTCTATGATTCTATAATGCAAAATCAAGGGTGTTTGCATTAGGAAGCTTTTCAGAGTCTTCGTGGAACTTCTCTTGAATTTGGCAGCTAAGCATTTCACCAGGAAATCCGTATGAGGAACCTGGAGAAGCACAATAGGTTGCCAAGGGGTGTGCTGGGATATGTAAGTATAAAACCTAAGTTGGAAGCTTGACAACAGTGTAACTTGTTGATGCTGAACCTTGTATTTCACAGTTAGAACCTTCTGCATCTTCAGTAGAAGTTATTGCCACAGAGAATTTGTCCCTAGTGGAACATTCTGAAGATATTAATAAAACTGGGAAAATAGGCAATTTGGAAAAACCAATAAATGGAAAAATATACCTATGCGTGTATTTCATGCCCGTTTTATGTGTCTCAGTCATTTGGAAATTCACGTATAGCTACTCGGCATTAATCGCTTCACCATGTAAGTGTGCTTGTAGGCTCAGCAGTCTTTGATCTGACATTCTCAAGGTACTTTGAGGCTTAGGAGATTTGCATTTTGATTGTTGTGAATGATAGCTGCTGTACTCCAGTTTTTTGTGTACTTGCCTGTAGTCTTCTAGTAGTGATGAGTTATATAAACCTTTGAAGTGTTCTGCCTTGGTACAACCACAGGAAAACACTGGCTTGGCTTCTTATTCTCGTTGTATCTTATTTTGTATTTTTAAAAAGCATTATAGTCATGATGCTGATAAAATTTGAGTGTGTCACTAGGAGACTTGTAGCCTAGTGCATATGTTATGATTTAACGCAAACCTTGGATAGATCTGTGTCCTTCACCGTTATGAATAAATTTGAACAGTCTATGATTAAAATATTAATTTTAGTTTGAGTAATCAAAGGAGTTTGTTCTTTCTCAACAGATAATGTTTTTCTCCTATTAGTGAGGACTTTTACACTCCTGCCAGATGATGAGCTCAGTCCACTGGTCCGTCTTTGACAATGCAGCAGCAATAAGTGTGATTTAAAAGCTTGCTCTTGCTTAAACTACTATTTTATTTTCCCAACTTGCTCACTCAAGTGATAATCTTTGGAAGTGGTTGAAGCCACTCTCCTTTAGCCATCTGCTGTTTTGTAAGAGTACCGTATATTTTGATTTGATGGGCTGTTTAGCTTATGGTGAAGATAGTCCTTTTCTGGAGTGTTCTGTAGAATAAAAACTGATAATGCAAGCAGAAAATATTTTGATCACTCTGTTGTAGGTTGGTAATCATTTGACAGAACTGTGAGTCTTAATAGTGGGGACCAGGCACTTTAGTGCAGTTAGGATTTGCTAAACCTCATCACTGAAACTATTGTTATGCCTTCCCTTAAGTGGGAAGTTGGAGTAGAGTGTTTCTTATACTGTCTGGGTTAGAGTAAGCTTCGTGTTTTTATGTTACCAGAGTTGCAATTTGGACGTTTTAATAACAAATAACTAAATAGTAGGCTACTTAATAGCTCCTCTCTCTATTTTCTATCTAACGAAGCACATAATAAGTTTCTTTGGAGTAGGGAATTCCTTTTCAATAACTTTTCTACGTATAGATGTCTTCCGCCATGCTCAGGATAGTGCATCCCCATGAGTAAGAAATCAAGCAAAGGAGGCAGGAGACCTGCATGGATGAGCAAGGAGCTTCCAGAAAAACTCAGATGGAAAAGAAAGACCTATGGAATGTGGAAAGAGGGATGGGCCACTTGGGAGGAATACAGGAACACTGTCAGAGTATGCAGGGATGGAAAGAGGAAGGCTACAGTCCACCTGGAATTAAATCTGGCAAGGGATGTCAAAGACAACAGGAAGAGCTTCTTCAAGTACCTCAGTAGCAAACAGAAAACTAGGGAAAGTGTGGGGCCACTGCTGAATGAGGTGGGTGCGATGGAGGATGCAGAGAAGGTGGAGCTACTGAATGCTGCGTTTACTCCAGTCTTTACTGCTCAGGCAAGCCCTCGGGAATCCCAGCTCCTGGGGGTAAGATAGAAAGCATGGGGAAAGGAAGACCTTCCCTTGGTTGAGGAGGATCGGGTTAAAGATCATTTAAGCAAACTGGACACCCACAAATCCGTGGTCCCAATGGGATGTGCCCACGAGTGCTGAGGGAGCTGGCAGATGTCATTGCTGAGCCCCTCTCCACCATCTTTGAAAGGTCCTGCAGAACAGGAGAAGTGTCTGAGGACTGCAGGACAGCCAATGTTGCTGCAGTCTTCAAAAAGGCAAGAAGGAGGACCCAGGAAACTACAGGCCAGTGAGCCTCACCTCCACCCCTGGAAAGGTGATGGAGCAGCTCATTCTGGATGTCATCTCTAAGCAAGTGGAGGAAAAGAAGGTTATCAGGAGTAGTCAAGATGGATTCACCAAAGGGAAATCATGCTTGATCAATCTGATAGCCTTCTGTGGTGGCATGATGAGCTGGGTAGATGAGGGGAGAGCAGTGGATGTTGTCTACCTTGACTTCAGCAAGACTTTTGACACAGTCTCCCATAACATCCTCCTAGGGAAGCTCAGGAAGTTTGGGCTAGATGAGTAGACAGTGAGGTGGACTTAAAACTGGCTGAATGGCAGAACTCAGAGGGTTGTGATCAGTGGTGCAGAGTCTAGTTGGAGGCCTGTAGCTTGTGATGTTTCCCAGGGGTCAGTACTGGGCCCAGTCTTGTTCAACTTACTCATCAGTGACCTGGATGAAGAGTTAGAGTGTACCCTCAGCAAGTTTGCTGATGACACAAAACTGGGGAGGAGTGGTGGATGCATCTCTCCTGTGAGGCAAGGCTGAGGGAGCTGGGCTTGTTCAGCTGGAGAAGGCTGAGAGCGGATCTTACAAATGCCTATAAATATCTGAAGGGTGGGTGTCAGGAGGATGGGGCCAGACTCTTTCCAGTGGTGCCCAGCGACAGGACAAGGGGCAACAGGCACAAACTGAAGCAGAGGAAGTTCCACCTGAACAGGAGGAAGAACTTCTTCACTCTGAGGGTGACAGAGCCCTGGAACAGGCTGCCCAGGGAGGTTGTGGAATCTCGTTCTCTGGAGATATTCAGAACCCGCCTGGACAAGGTCCTGTGCAGCCTGCTGTAGGTGACACTGCTTGGGCAGGGGAGTTGGACTAGATGACCCCCAGAGGTCCCTTCCAACCCCTACCATTCTGTGATTCGTTGAACTTAGCAATCTATTTTATCATCTGGATAGTGCACAATGTGGAACATCGTTCTAATAATGCATTTTAGTGTAAGAAATCTGAGACATGGATATAATTATAGATGGAAGATACTTGGGCATCCTAAAACTGCTAACCGAAGTGGAAGTGGAAGGACTTTATCTGCTTACTGAAGAAATGTATGACTCTGAACAGATACCACATATTTAAAACTATGAAAACTGTACAGCAAGGAGACCAATTTGTTTGTCTTCCCTATAGTGCTTTTCTAGCCATTTGCTACTGTTGACTGAGTTCACTTACAGTCCCTCATCTCCTTCTGTTTCCTGCTGTTCAATTCTATTGTTTTAAACTATCTTGCAAATCACTGTACAGAGCAATGTACTGATTTTATCATTTTTCATGTCCTTAAGACACTAAGCCTGCTATCTTACTGGCAGATAGACAACTTTAGTTCAACGTACATGCTCTTCTTTTGTCTCCTCCAGGCAAGTATATTCAAGGAGAATTACAAAGTTAATAGAATCTCCTTTCCCCGAATCTCTCATCTGTTCTCAGCTATCAAATGTGAAAAGGAAGGAAACACCTCTTACCAAACATACTGTTTGTCTGTGGGGAGAATCCCGTTGATTGTTACTTTGAACTCTTCAGAATAAGCGGCTCACCCACATTTTAAAATTGTGCGTTAATTTTCTGCCAAGAACATGAAAGTTTCTTCAAGTTTGCTCATGTTCGCTGTCTAATTCAGGGTGAATCTTCAGGTTTAAATGTGGAGGGGGAAGAGGAGAATCTGTGTGGATAGTTTGATGATCTAGGTTCTCCAGTAGCTTAAATTACAAAAGAAGACGAAGTATGTAACTTGGCTTTCGACAAACTTATTACATAAATATAGTTCAAGATATGTCTTGATTATTCGCGAAGTAATGGATGCTTTAATAGTTCTGCTTGTTTTTTACAACAAGGCTGATTATCGCTGTGGAATTTTTCTCAGACATTTTTGGAACACACTTGCAGTATTTCTGTGTATCTGAATCTCTCCTCCTTGGTGCTGTAACTAATTTTGAAATCATAAGAATAGGTTGCTCTATTACAGAAGCATTAATATTCTAGTGCAAAATAAGAAACAATGTCTATTGGCTATAAACCAGACTGGTTAACTGGAGACTCTATTGCTTGATTTCAGAGAATAGGCCACGGTGATAAAAATCATGCTGATGCAGACAGATCACCCATCTTTCTCCAGTTTATTGATTGTGTGTGGCAGATGTCTAAGCAGGTATGTTATATCATTCTTCAGAAGGCGACATTGTTAAGAGATTACTGAATTAAAAACCTAGATCTTTATTTTAAAGATGGTATTTGAAGAGGACAGCATACCCCTCTGCCCTGACACTGTAGTCAAAAAGAGTGTGTTTACTTTGAAACCGTACCATCTCTCTACCCTGTTTCTAAAAGTGGTGTTCAGGCTGTGGTTAGGTTTCTTAATGTGGCATTGGCTGTGCATGCAAGGCTGGTGTGTCTTAGACATGGGCTTCTCGGAAATATACCAAGAGATGTGACCCAGCAGAATGCCGTTACAGGAGCTGCATCCAGCTAGTTTAACTTCACTAGTCTGTTGTGCCATGTCACCATTTTTGTGAAGCTGTCCCTTCAGCTACAGGGACAAAAGTTGTTTTGTCAAAGCTTGAAAAGGAAACTTGGGAGCTGTTGAGTCCCAGGATTTAAACATTGTATATTCAGTAAGTAATGAAACAAAGCAGCAAATTTAGTCCTTTAGGGTGAAGGATTATGAGAAAAACTTTTTTTTTTTTCTTTCCTCCCCTGTATGGTGTTGCACTATGAATGCACTGTAGATATCTTATTCTGTCTTGCTAGTAAAAATGTAACTGTAACCATTCTGTATTTTATTCTTCTTTTTAGAAATTAAAGGCAGTTAGAACATACTGAGGAGAGTTCTTTTCAGTCATTAGTTTGGGAAACTTGAACATCTCACGTCATATAAACACTCTGCTATAAAGTATATGAAATTATTGTTAAAATTATTTGTATGTGTATTCAGGCTTCTAAATGCTGCCTTTAGCCTCTTAACCAGGGCATGTACATCTCTCCCTGCTTTTATATTGTCTTTTCTGTTGTTAGTTTCCCACAGCCTTTGAATTCAATGAGCAGTTCTTGATTACAATCCTGGATCACTTGTACAGTTGCCGGTTTGGTACTTTCTTATACAACAGTGAGTGGCTTAGAGAAAAAGAGGTTAGTCAAACCACCAGTTGTTTAATTGTATTGCTGTCTTGACTCTAGATGATTACCAAAAATTTTGCTTCTGTTGTATTTTATTATATTCCTTGTACGACAGTGTTTTTGCACTGGCTTTATTCTTGTAGAACAGTTGCATGGTAAATTCCTTGGTTTTGGTGGCTTAAAGGCTATGCAGTCACTAAAATGCTTGTCAGGCACTGGTTTTGGAATATTTCTAATACAGTAACTTACTGTGCTTGTAAGTAAATCGGAAGTGTATTAATTTTAGAATGTAACCATGACTTTTGTGGTGGATTTCCTGATTTTGTGCAAATATTTACTGTTCTTATTTCAATTTCATTTTAGAAAGTGACTGAGAAAACATTATCGTTATGGTCTTTGATAAACAGTGAAAAGTCTAAATACACAAATCCTTTTTATACTAAAGAGCTAAATCGGGCACTCTATCCAGTAGCCAGTATGCGTCATCTAGAGCTCTGGGTCAATTACTACATCAGGTGGAACCCAAGAATTCGACAACAAGTAAGTAAACTCTCTATAATGTATAAAATACTTTTAGACTTTGGAAATAGGATTTTGTGATGTAACTGAGTTGCAGAGCATAGTACCTGTAATCTGTTCAGGTTTTTAATATTATATGTGTAAAAATGAAGAAAAAAGGTGAAAGTTGTTATTCAATTTTTTTTTTTTTTTTTTTTTTGACTCAGCTCTTCTCAGAACACTGAGCTTGTTTTACTGGTCAGTATCAAGTCATCCTCGAGCTCTTTCTAGCCCCTTTTCTTGGGCCCAGGGCTGGGGGAGAATTTTTTAAGGGCATTTGATGCTACTAAAGCGTGAATGACAATGCTTAGAAATAGGGCTTAGTGATCCCTGAAGAGTTAGAGCATTAGCATCACAAACACGCTTAGTTGCATTGGCTTAGTCTTTCTCCTTTTTCTGAGAGAGCGTATGAAGTCTGCTACAAAATAAGGTGAGCTATTCAGTCCTTTCTCTTTCAGAACTGCTATCTGTATTGGTGGCCTATGGTAGATTATTTTTTTTTCATATAACTTTGACCCAACATTGTTTATACTGTGTAACCGTTGGATGAAGGCTGTTACTGAAAATTATACAAGTGGATCAAATTGGAAACCCAGAAAAGCTTTTACCAAATTGCACATAGTTCAGTTCTGTGTTTTTGATGTTTAATACATGGACACTCAATGTTTGCTACAATCTTGCTAGAAATCTCAGCAATGCAGCATGTAAAGATGGCGTACAGAGACTTATTTGTCCTTCTTAACAAGTTGTGGAGTTTTGAGTAGGAGAAAATAGAGAAGCAATTTCTTTGACAGAAGCAGTCTTCACAGTCCATCTCCTGGAATGAATCGGGAGTTTCCAAGCAATGTACCTTCCCTCCTGCAGCTGATGTCTTGTATTATTTACAACACTTTAGAGGGTGCAAGAAAGCCAGACAGTTTGCTTTATTTTCTTACAAGTATGTTGCCAGTTTTAATTGGAAATTTTAGTTTTAAAGCTTGTGTTGCTTGCTGTGAAAGATGAGGGCGTTTTGCAAAAGGTGAATCCAAAGATTTATTTTAGAAAGTGAAGGATTATAGGGCATGCAAATTAGCTGTAAATCTACTTAAGAATACGCTTTGCCATTATTCAGGAAGGGTTTTTGGCAGGAGTTTCTTATTAGAAATGCAAACCTATGCGATAATCTTCTATGCTGCTGCTACTGGTCCCTCATTTCCACCATTTTTACATACAAAATTCAACAACTTTTTTTGCTGCACACAAAATCTGTGCTTCGTCTTGACTTAAGCAACTGAATAGTGGATGTGTGGCCTGAACCAATTTCTCAGTGACCTTTCTTAGTGCCGTTACTTAGAAGCATGTTCCGCATCAGACTTCAGTCTAATGAAGTCCGGTCTGTCACTAGCAACATCGTTAATGCTGCATCTCTAATCATCTTAGTAACTACGGTCAGTCATTGATCCAACTTCCACAGCTGCTTCAGCATTTTGTCGCCCTCCTCATCTGGGGTGCGTAGTGAGTGGTGCACGTAGCTTTTTATCTGCCTTGGGCATTTGTAATACTTCTTTTCAATTTTTTTTCGTTACTCTATCTGAAAAAGGAAGCTAAGCTTAAAATGGAAACAGTTAAGATGCTCTTTCTGCGAGTAATCACTTGAAAGCTGGGGCAGTTGATTTTAAGCACATTGGAGTTTACTTACAGAATTTATTAATAAAATTTTCCATTTCACTTTATTTAAACAAAGTTGCAAATTAACTGTTAAAAACTGAAGTACATTTCATCAGTAGGGGAAGTTATTTAATCTGAAGATATGGATTTCATCTTCATCTGATCAGTGTAGCTAAAATAGTCAGTCTGGCTAAACACTGTTTTTAGGGAGGGTGATGAGACATCTGACCTCTGGAATCTGAAACTTTATTAAAAAGTCAAGCAGAAAAAAGGCTTTGGAGAAGTTATTCACACCTATCTTCCACACAATATTAGATAATAAGAAAATAAAACCCGTATGCTCCAGGAAGTGCTGGCTGATTTTATTGAGGTAGGAAGAACTGGTTTTTGTAAATACTTTCTTTGGGTGAAAACAACTGGAAGGCAAAGGGCTCTTGTTGTAGAGATAAATATTTCTGTATAGCTACAACGCGTTACATATTTTGGAAACTACAAGTACCGAGTAATGCCAGGAAAACACAAACACTACAGCAGCCTAACTGTGTAGAAGTAGTTGGACTAAAGCGGTAAAACTAACGCAGATCTCTTTCTAGCAGCCAAATCCAGTGGAGCAGCGTTACATGGAGCTCCTTGCGTTACGTGACGATTATATGAGGAGACTTGAAGAACTACAGATCACAAATAATTCTAAGATATCCAATTCATCGGCCTCATCAGCATCTCCCTCACAAATGATGTCCCAAGTACAAACACATTTTTGAAGAAAAATGTTGGCTTCTTTCTATACTGTAATAGCAAGTGGTGCTTAACATAGATCTATAGCATAAAGAGGAATATTTTAATGCCTTACATTAGACTGTCCTAACACAAATTATTTTAGACTGTCTTCATTTGAGGAGGACTTCGAAAGAAACAAAACCAACTCTTCAATTACGTGCCTTTCAGAACCTGTGGACTGGGAACTTGATTAATCAACTTCTAGTTATGGAGGGCTTTAAGAGTTATTTTGGAAAGTCTGGTACAACTGAAATTAAATCGATTTATTGTTTTCATAAGAATGCTTTAATTTATTACATTATAGGTCATGTTCCTGGAAGGAAATTCATGCTCAGTCTTACATGTCATGAATAAACACATTAATGGCAATAGGACTATTCACATTGTGTAAAATTAGGTATGTGTGTATTCCTTTTAGGAATACATTTGTGGAGTTCATGAGATAAAAATAAATTCTGTTGTACAACTTTGGAGATAAGTGTTGAAATTTTCTGGTTATCTGAGAATTCCAAATTTTCCTTTTCAAAATCAACAAAAACATGAAAGGGATTTCACTGATATTCTTCGAATTAAATAAAGTTCAAATAGCTCAGTAGATACCAAAATAAAAGAAAAATCTATTTTTTATTGTACCTTGATTTTTCTTTTTAAACAAATAACAATTGTACTGGATTCTGAGAAGTCCTGTTTTGGCTAACTGTTCAGCACTAAAATATATTACAAATTGCCACTGTTGGCAGTATTTGGTCTTTGGATTAATACAGAATAAAGTGGTTCTAAAGAAAGTTTATATAGTTAAAAACAGACCCACAGAGGCATTGCTTAAATACCCAGCAATAGCCATAGTATTGAAGCTTGCGTTTGTCTTCTAAAAGTAAATGTGCCTGTTTAAAGGAGCTTTCGTACCAAAGTAGGCAAAAATTTTCAGTCACAAATACTGTTGAAAACTTGTATGTTTATAGCTTACTGTTTAATTTAACTTTTGTTCAATGAATTTATGCTTCAGTATTTAAGGGGCTTCAGTGTACAAGATTTGCATATAGTATGTGCATTTATGTTGAACCTTTCACTGAATTCTAGTTTCGGGCCTTCGTTTCAGAGGCTTCTTGTAATTCTTTAATTTGTTCCTTTTGTGGCTTTTTTAATTTTTAAATAGTTGCAAGCATTTCTTATGACAGCACAAACCTTGCTACTTGATATTTAATTAAAATTTTGCGTATTCTCAGAAGTTTAACGATATTCAGGCAAGCCAGGAAATACTGCGATTCAGAAGCTGTAGGGGAGTATATCTAATATTGTTATTTTAAAGGAGATGTTTGGATGCTTGAAGCTTCTGTCATTGTAAATTATTGTATATGTGGTGAGTTTTGATCTGCAAGATATAATAGGATTATATATAAATGAAGTTTTGTGTAAGTATATATAATATAGTTTATTAGAAATTCTGCAAGTTTATAAAGTGTAAATATTTTGCATCTGAAACCTAAATTTAAAGCTATAGTTCCATAAAGTAAGTAAAAATTTAGAGGACATCTGAGTATTTTTAGAACAGTATTTTTTTTAAAGGAGCAAAAGTATACCGCCTCTTGATTTAATTCAGTACATGCACTGAATTGCACTATTTTGTTCAGGGAAGCTCAGAGTGTACAGCACGTGTGTTCGAAATACACATGATTTATATGACTTATTTTTGTCCTCTAAATTTAATTCTCCCATCAATGTTCTTCAGTGTGTGTTTCTAAAATTAACAACATTGTCCCAAAATCTTGACTTGTTAAGGTAAATAAGACACATTGCATCAGACAAATGAAGGATACTCAGTTGCTGATGATATGCTTTACCTTTTGAAAGCTATGCATACTCTGCTGTATTTGCCTTCTACTTACTTGTGGTTTATAAAAAAAAAAAGCTATTTTTGTTAGAATATTTAAAGTTTCTGTATTTGAGTTGAACGCATTGGTGAACTCTGAGCAGTGTGGAGAAGTTCAGCAAATCGAATAGTTTTTGCTGTGTAAACACTACATGATAACCTGTTGCATTTGCGAAAGTGTAATATAACAGAAAGGATCTTTTTGCCCTTACTTCGTTACGTATATACCATTCTTCATATTACTGGTTCGGTCAAATTCCAGTCTTTGAAGCTCTCTAACATAGCTCTGTGTGGGCTTGGATTTTTTTCAAGTCAGCAGATAAGATACTTGTTTTAATTCTGTTTTTACATGGCAATGTTAGGCAACCGTAGGGGTGCTTTTAATCCAATACTTTCTGGAAAATGCTACTTTAAAGTTGTTGTGAAGGCAGGCGCAGTAACTGATGGATGTTAGCAGGAAGCTTTCCTCCTTTCCCCTGCAGTGCGTGATCCGGGCGGTCGCTCTGCAGCCGGAGCTGTCGCTGTCACGCCACACCCGGGCCAGCTCTCCGGCGTGGGGAGGCAGTTCAGGCACCCAGTGCCTTCGCTGGGAGGGGGCAAAAAGCAAGTCCGGGGTGTGAACACCAACGGCCACGGCTGCCTGACACCCAGTACAACCTACCCCTCCTGGAACGCAGTTGTAGATTTGTCCTGTCGGTGTTACTCCCATGGACCCCAGAGGATAAACCAGTGTTTGTGCTGGGCTTCAGTTACTTGTGCAGAAAGTTTATTTGCTGAATGCCTCCTGTGTCTGCGCATGCCTTACCCACCCCGCGTCACTGTTACGGGTGCACCCCGAGGTGGCTGGCCTGCCGCCTCCCTTGGACCTGTTTTTAAACTCAGCCTTCAGTTCACTTTCTTTGTCTCGCAGTGAGCATTTTGTGTCGTCCCTGAGGAAACAGGGTTTTATCGCTGACCGGCCCTCTCCTCGCCTGCTCCTCGGGTGACGGCCTCGGCCGCCCTCGCCTGATGCCGGGCCGGGGGGCTCAGCATCCCTCTGCCGTGTGTGCGTGAGGGGGGAAAAATAAAGATGCCGTTTTGAAACCCTCTG